ATAGCTGGGACAGGGGCCGGCCGCCGGCCTCTGCCTGGCATGGCAGGGGCGCTTGCCCGGGCACGGGTGGGCCCACCGCTTCGCCACCTGCCTGCGCACCGCCACCACCATCCAACACCACCACCACCACCGCCACCACACACCACCGCCAACACCACCACCGGCGTGCGCACCGCCGCTGATGGCAGCGGCCCTAGATCTCTATTTGTTTTGCACATGCACAACAATAACAACGCCGCCGCCGCCGCCACCTCACACCCACGCCGCCCACCTGGCGTCTTGGACACCATGGCGAGCGCGTTGCGCCCGGTCAGCATGTTGATCAGGCTCGACTTGCCCACGTTGGACCTCCCGATCACTGAAAAACAGGCGGGTGGGCAGGCACGCGCTGTGTGTGTGTGTGTGTGTGTGTGTGTAATGCGTGGGTGTGGCAGGGTGCAGGGGGCAGGCGCGGGGTGCGCGGCTTGAGGCAAGCGCCGAGCAGAAGCGCTGCCCCAGGCGGGCTGCAGCACTGGCCGCATCAGCCGGCCCGCCCTGGCCAGCCACGGCCAGCCCGCCCGCCCACCTGCAAACTCGGGGTAGCGAGCTGGCGGGCACTGCTCTACGCTGGTGCTGCTCTTCACAAACTCTGCGCTCTTCACCCTCACGCCCCGCGGCGGCGGCAGCACAACCTCCACCACCCCGCCCTCGTCCCCTGCTGCCGCTTCCGCGGCGCCGCCGCCGGCTCGCCGCCGCCCCTGCTGCTGTGCGGCGGCCGCGGCGGCTGTCGCCGCGCTGCGCTCCTGCTCCTGCTGCACCTCGCCGGCGGCCTCCTGCTGCTGCTCCTCTTCGTCACTGTCGTAATTGAATCGGCTGCTGTCAAAGAGCGGCTGCACAGGAGCGGCGGGCGCAAAGATGAGAGCACAGCGAAACATCAGCTGCCAGCAGCCCGGCCCGCCCTTCCCAGCCACGACCGTGCACAGCCCATCCCACCGGCAGCGGAAAAGCAAGCGGACCGGGTGAGCAACAGGGGCAGGCAGGCAGCGCACCCCAGCATTCATGGGCTCGCCGACGTCGTCGTCAGGTGGCTGCCGCCGCCGCCCAGCCGCCGAGTCATCCAGGAAGACGTTGCCCCGCCGGCCGGCAGCTGCTGCCGTGCCGCGCCTGTGCTGCGACTGCTGCACCAGTGCCCTGCCTTTCGCGCCTCTGCTGCTGGTGCTGGAGTGACGAGTGAGCAGCGGCGGCGGCACGGCGCTGCAGCCGCTGCCGCCAGCCGCTGCCGTTGCTGCGCGCAGCCCTGCAGGCATGCAGCACAGCTGCGGTCGCACCCAGACATATCGATACTGGCATGCCAGCCGCAGCAGCTGCGGCAGCAGGGACATAGGGATGGCAGTCGAGGCAGGAGGTGCCGGAAGAGGGCGCAGTGGATGTCAGGACAGCCTTTGCAGGTTTTCTGTTAAGATCGAAATGCGTATGGGGCTAAGGGAGCGGGCTGGGGAGAGTTTAGGGCGCTGGAAAGGCGGCATGCATTGCGGCGCAGGGCATCGCTTGTCTGCAGCGGCGCTGGCGAGGCCCATCAACTGTGCAGGCGTCCAGAGCGCGCTGGATCGTCGGGGCCGCGAGTGCATGCAGCTGTGAGCGGCGTTGAGTGACCCAAACCCGGCTGCCTCCCTGAGCGAGCCACCTGGTTCGCCAATTGGCTAGGCCGGCTCCCTTGGCATGTGCCCAGGCTTCAAGGCCGCAGCCCGCCCCGCAGCCATGGACCTCGACAAGCTCGCCGCCCACAGCAAGTTTTTCGACCACCTGGTGGACCTGGTGCCCGCCAAGTATTACCTGGATGGCGGTCAGGAGACGGTGCGCCGGGGCGGGCAACGGGAGGGCGGCAGCCGCCACCTGGGCCGCCGCCGCAGCGGCAGCTGCACACGACGACGGCTCTTTGCCAGCCTCCTGCCCTGCACCGCACCATGCTTGGCTAAAACCACCTGCGGTCAAACCAACCTGTACTGCAGGTCAATCTGAAGTACATGAAGAAGAGCGCGCGGGACGAGGCCAAGGCCGCCTTTAAGCAGCAATACAAGGCGGCCAAGCGCGCCAAGCTGGACCCCGACCAAGCCAAAGGCACGCTGCAGCTGCAGAAGGAAGCGGCGGAGGCCGCCCGCGCCGCCCGTGCAGAGCAAAACGGAGCACCGGCATCCGACGACAGCGGCAGCGAGGAGGAGGAGGGCGAGGGGGAGTCTGACGCCGAGGCAGACAGCGGCAGCGAGGAGGAGGCGGCGGCGGCGGCGGCGCGCGGGCAGCAGGGCGGCGGCGGCCAGCTGGCGCACGCGCAGCAGCAGGGGGCCGCGGGGCAGCTGGCGATATCCAAGGGCAAGCCCCCCAGCAGGGAGGAGCTCAAGGAGCGGCTGCAGAAGAAGCTGGAGGTGAGGAGGGGGGCTGCATGTGTGGAGGTGCAGCCCTGGGGTGCTAGAGCTATCGTCAGCGGCCAGGCAGCATATTGTGACACCTGGCTGCCGCCGGCAATCGCCTGTCCTGCCTGCAAAAGCGCAACCTGCAAGCCGCCGCCGCCGCCACGCGTGCAGGACATGCGGAGGCAGCGCAAGGCTGAGGAGCAGCAGCAAAAGGCGGCGGAGGCCAAGCAGTGGCGGGAGAAGTCGCTGGCTGAGGGGCGCAAGAAAGTGGGCAAGGCGGCAGCGCAGCAGCAGCGGCGGTCCCACAAGGGCAAGGGCGGCGAGCAGGCGGCGGCAGCGGGCGGCGCCGGCCAGCAGCAGCAGGCGCAGGGGCAGCAGGGGCAGCAGCAGAAGCAGCGCAAGCAGCACAAGCGGCAGCGGGAGGAGGGCGGGGAGGGCGGCCTGGCCTTCAACAAGCTCGACTTTGGGCCAGGTGCGGGGCGCAGAGCAGGGCAGCCAATGGGCAGCACCGCTCCAAAGACGGCCGCCAGTTGGGCCGCGGGTGTGTGCCTGTGTCTCTTCCTGGCGTTGCCTGTGAACGTGCATGTCTTGGCACAGCGCCTACGTACCTGCCCCTGCCCGCTGCCTCTCGATCTGCCTCCACAGACCCGAGGCAGCAGAAGAAGCAGCGTCGCAAGCAGTCCAAGCAGCAGCTGCTGGCGGCGGCGACCGAGAAGCAGGCGGCTGCAGCGGAGCTGGGGGCCAGCCAGGAGGGCAAGGTGAGGGACACCGGTGGCTGTGCATGCGGCGGCGGGGAGGCGTCCCGTGCCAATTGACCAGCCAACCAGCCGGCCGGCCTGCAAGTCCTGCCCGCGCATGTCGCTCGCCATGCCGACCCGTGTTGCGTTGCCGCTGCTGCCTTTGGCAGGCAAAGCTGCAGCGCGAGGCATGGGGCACGGCGCTGCAGCGGGCCAAGGGCGACAAAGTGTTTGACGATCCCAACCTGCTGAAGAAGAGCCTGAAGAAGGTGGGGGGATAGTGACGGTGGTGTGTGGGATGCGTGGCACGACTCAAGGCTGGCCGGGTGGTGTAGGGCTGGTCACGTCATCGCACAGCCGCTCGACTCCCTCCCACGATAATGGGGTGGTCGGTTGTGCTGCTGCACAGGTCCCTGCTGGGTGAGCTGCCACACACTTGACCGGTTGCCCTGCCCTCTCCTGCCCTGCCCCGCCCTGCCCTCAGGAGGCCAAGATCAAGGCCAAGAAGGCCGAGGCGTGGAAGGAGCGGGTGCAGAAGCAGGGGGAGCAGCAGAAGGCCAAGCAGCAGAAGTGAGGCTGCCGTGCTGCTGCTGGCTGCATCGCGCTTGGCACGCGCAGAGGCGCCCGGAGCATGCGCCGGGCTCGGCTCAGGCCGGTGCCGGGGCTGCCCACTGCCCGCCTTGTTTTCCAGTGCCTGACATCCCTTCACCTGTCCCTGCCCGGCTGCAGGCGCCGCGACAACATCGACGGCCGCATCAAGGCCAAGCAGGACAAGAAGAAGCAGAAGGTGCGTGCAGGCCGCCAGCAGGTCAATGGCATCGCTCCATGACGAGCCCAGCGGCGGCTGCCGGCTCTTGCTTCGCCGTTTGGTCCGGCCCTTGCGTGCCACTTGCCTGCCTGCCTGCCTGCCTGCGCTGAGCTCCCTCTTGCATGCACCCCCCTGCCAATCGGTTGCTGCAGCGCGAGAACAAGCTGCTGCGGGCGGGCTTTGAGGGGCGCAAGCAGGGCTTCATAGAGACGCCCAAGCGGTCTGGCGGCGGCGGCGGCGGCGGCGGCGGGCAGTAGCGGCGGCGCGGTGGAGGCATGGATTCGTTTTGCTCAGTATCAGCATGCAGAGTTGTTGAGAGGCATGTAAGCAGCCGTTCTCGCTGCCAAACTGCCTGCTGCCCCCTGGGCGAAACAGGAGGCTGCCGGGCACCTGGTGGCGTGCGCCCCGCCCATGCCGCCCATGCATGCCTTCCTGTGTGGGGTTCATGTGTTCTGACACTCCTCTCAGGTGACCCAGCCGCAGGTTGCCCTGCTCGAAAGCGCCGCTGCCCGCTTTCTGAGGAGGCCTTGCTGGCGCCGCCGGTTGGGTGGCGCCCAGCATGCAGCATCGCACGCTGATCGGGACAGCTACCGCACCGGGAGCTGCGCACATCACTTCCCAAAGCCTGGGAGCACTCAGCACAAAGCCCTGCGGCATGGCGGGCTTGCTGCGGAGCTCTCGGCGCCTGCTGGTCTCGGCGGCAGCAGCAACCGGCACACCCGTATCACCAGCGCTCTGGGCAGCAAGCAAAGCCATGGCAGCGGCAGTGTCCAGCCGGGCAGCGGGGGACGCCTGCGCTCCCTCTCCTGACCTGGTGGGCACGCTCACCGACTCCTCCATCCTCAAGACCAAGGTCTACATTGGGGGAGAATTCATAGAGGCAGCCGACGGCAGCACGCTCGAGGTCAGGGTTCGCCGCCGCTGCCGCCGCCGCCCCCCTGCCACCAGCTGCGCCGCCACCCTGCCGGCCCCCTGCACACCTCTTATTGTCCAAACCCTAGCGTGTTTTTCGCCCTTCCGCGATCTCAGGTGGTCAATCCCGCCACGGGGCAGCGAATCGCCACTGTGCCGCGGTGCGGCGCCAACGAGACGCGCGCCGCCATCGCCGAGGCCGCCACCGCGTTTGAGTCGTGGGGGCGGCGGCCGGGCAAGGAGCGGGCCGCCATCCTGAAGCGGTGGGTTGGTGGGGCGGGTGGGGCGAGGCGGTGGGCTGGTGGGCCAGTCAGGCTGCTCCTGTGGCTGCTGCCGGGCCGGTTTGCATGCGGCACCCAGGGTAGACCCATCGCGTGCCGCCATGCCGCCTTCCATGCGTAACGCACAGCAGAAATTATGCGCGCGCGCGCGCGCGCATACACACACGCGCACACACACACACACTCTCACTCCCACACATGCACTTGCACACGTGCACACCCCAATGCTGGCAGGTGGTATGGCGAGGTGGTGTCCGCGCGCGACGACATCACTCGCCTCATGACGCTGGAGAGCGGCAAGCCGCTGGCTGAGTCGCGGTCCGAGTTTGACAACGGGTGAGCGCGGCAGGGGAGCCCGCGGGCTGACCCTCACCGGGCGATGTGGGAGGAGCATGGCATTGCGGGTCTAGGGCTGCATCGCATGGGGCCGCCCGCCGACGGCGACTGTCAAATGCGTTGTGTGGCTCTAAATGCCACGCACCCCACACACACCCTATCTGCCTGCAACACGCACTCTCGCACCCGCCCGCCCGCAGCGTGGCCAGCATAGAGTGGTTTGCGGAGGAGGCCACCCGCAGCTGCGGGGACGTGCTGGAGTCGCCCGACCGCCACCGCCGCTTCATGGTGGGTGGGTGGGCGTGTGTGTGTGTGTGTGTGTGTGTGTGTGGCGGTGGGCTGTGTGGTGCGGTTTGGGGCTGTGTCGGTGGGGCGAGCGAGCGTTGGGGTGTGCGCTGGTCGCGGCGGCAGTGTGTGGTGGTGTGAGGTGGTGTGTGAGGGTGAAGCGAGTGCGGGCTGCTGAGCCCTCCCTTGCCGCGCGGCCCCCCTGCAGGTGCTGAAGCAGCCTGTGGGCGTGGTGGGCGCCATCACCCCTTGGAACTTCCCCTTCTCCATGATCACCCGCAAGGTGTGCGGTACAGCACAGTGCAGTGCAGTACATCACAGCACCATGCAGTACCTTGCAGTACGGTTTGTTGTGGTTGCCGGTAGGGTGACTCAGCGCTCTGCGCTCTGGAGCCTAAGCAGGAGGCGTTCTGTCTCCTTTCTTCCCGTGTGCTGCAGGTGTCCCCCGCCCTCGCCGCCGGCTGCACCGTGGTGCTAAAGCCGTCTGAAGACACGCCGCTCACGGGTGCACCACCCCCCGCCGCCCTTGCGCCTGCCTGCCTGCCTGCCCAAGCGCCGCTGCCTGCTGTCGCCGTTCCTGCCCTCACCACGCCCACCATCCGCTTCCTTCCCCACCACCAACATGCGCTGTTCGCCCCACCCGCCCTCTGCAACACCCCTCCGCACCACCCCACCACCCCGCCCCACACATGATGCAGCCTTTGCGCTGGCAGGGCTGGCGGAGCGGGCAGGGATGCCGCGCGGCGTGCTCAACATCCTGACTGGAGATGCCAAGGCCATTGGGGAGGCGCTGGTCAAGAGCGAGTCGGTGGGCTGGCTGCCGCGCTGTGCTGTGCCGCGCTGCGCTGTGCTTTGCTGTGCTGTGCCGAGCTGTGCTGTGCTGTGCTGTGGGGGGCCTGCCGCAAGGGTGTGCGCGGCCGGCAACCCAACGCCGGCTGCCGGCGGCTTGCCGGGCCTTGGTCGCTGCACCCCCCCCCCCCCCACACACACACACACACCGACATCCAACCCACCCCTCCCTCCACCTGCTGCAGGTCCGCAAGATTGGGTTCACCGGCAGCACAACAGTGGGCAAACTGCTCATGCAGGTGGGAAGGTGCCGGCGCCCCAAGAACCCCATGCAACAGGACGCAGGCGCAGGCCGTTGCACCACCACACCCGCAGCAGCCGGCTGCCGGCGCATGCCGCCACCGCCCTCATGTATGGCGGCCCACGGCCCTCCCTTTCTCATCTGCCCCTGTATGAGTTCCCCAACACTCAACCCCCCATGGATGCTTGCAGGGCGCTGCCTCCACGGTGAAGCGTGTGTCTCTGGAGCTGGGCGGCAACGCGCCCTTCATCGTGTTTGAGGACGCGGGTGGGTGGCGGTGTGTCTGGTGGTGTGGTGGTGGCGGTGGGTGTTTGTTGTGGGTACGACGCTCCCTTGGAGTGGCGTGCGTTTGGGGGAGGAGTGGAGTGCGTTTGGGGGAGGCGGCGCCCTCTCCGCAGGCTGTCTGCCACCCCGCCCGTGGTACCGCTGCCCTGGCGCTGTGCTGTTGCTGACCTGGCGCTGTGCTGGCGCAGACATAGAGAAGGCGGCCCGCGACGTGGTGGGCAGCAGCCACCGCAACAGCGGCCAGACCTGCATCTGCACAAACCGGGTGCTGGTGCACGTGAGTGGCCTGCCTGCCTGCCTGCCTGCTTGCCTGCCGGCCTGCCGGCCACAGCGCTGACTTCCGAAGCCCCATGCCAGCCTGCCTTCATGCCTGCCTGCCTGCCTGCCTCGCTCCCCTCCTTACCAGCCTCCCTCCCACTGCTCCTTGCCCTGCTGCCCCACTGCCCGCCTGCGTGCTTCAGGAGAGCATCCACGATGCTTTTGTCGAGGCCCTGACCAAGCGCGTGGCGGCGCTGCGGCTGGGCAGCGGGCTGGAGGCGGGGACCACCCAGGGGCCGCTCATCTCGGCTGCGGCGGTGGACCGGGTGCGTGGCGCCTGGCCGAGAGCAGGAGGCCGAGTGGCGCCCCGCTTGGCACCCCAACTGCTGCTGCTGCTGCTGGGGGTGCTGGGGATGCTCCTCGGGGCAGGGTGTCGGCTGTTGTTAGGCCTCAGTTGCCGCATTCCCGCGGGCAGCGGCGGGGGAGGGGATTCTCCAGACCGGAACCTCCCTGTCGCAAGCTGTTGCCTTCCTTCCAGCTGTTGTCCTCTGTGGCGGCGCAGGTGGAGGGGAAGGTGCGGGATGCGCTGGCCAAGGGCGCGGTGGCGGCGTGCGGCGGCGCGCGCCCCAGCTGGGAGGCCGGCAGCCCGCTGGCGGGAGGCTACTTTTTCGAGCCCACCGTGCTCATCGGTGGGTGTGGGGCTGGGGTTGGCATGCAGGAGGGCTGGGGCGGCGGGGTGTGGGGTTTGGCGGCGAGGGGTATCGAGGCGCCGCGCCGCGCGAGGGGCGGTGTCTGGTGCTCCCCGCTCGACAGGCATGATTCCGCTCCCGGCGCGGCGCATCGCCTTCCGTGCACCTCGCCCGCTGACTTTCCGCTGCATGTGTCGGCTGGTACTGCCTGGTACTGTATGGTACTACAGGCGGTACCGTCGACATGCGCATGTTCCACGAGGAGGTGTTTGGTCCCGTCACACCCGTCTACAAGTTCGCCACCGACGACGGTGGGCTGCGCCCGACTGCCCTGCGGTGCCGTCGCTGTGTTAGGCTGCTGGCAGGAAGTCGTGTGGGAGCGGCGCGGCAGGAGTACTGGCAGAAGTGGTGGCAGCCCGCAGTGCCGGTCGAACAACAATCCTTCTCTGTCGCTGCCTTCCCACCCCTGCGTTGCAGAGGCAGTACAGCTGGCCAATGATACGCAGTACGGCCTGGCCGCATACTTTTACACCAGGGTGGGCTGGGGATGGGGGTGCCTGTTTGGTCCAAAGCAGGAAGGGTTGGCTGGGTTAAGGGAGGCGGCCGCAGCTCCCCTGCACAGACGGTTTGCTGCATGTGGGATGCTTGGCATCCGCCGCCCATGGGTCTTGCCGCCCTGACCCCCCTCCCCGTGGCTGCCTGCCTGGCCGCAGGACCTGTCGCGGGCGTGGCAGGTTGCGGAGCGGCTGGAGTATGGGATGGTGGGGGTGAACGAGGTGGCTATCACTTCAGAGGTGTGTGTGTGGGTGGGTGGCGCTGGTGTGTTTGAGCGTGTGACAGTGGTGGTGCGGGGCAACAGCAGCGCGAGGCTGGGAGCTGCGGCCCTCCAACTGTCACCTCTGGCGTGTCCTCCTGCCATCGGACCGTGCCACCACCACCACCAACAACAACGACCCACGTGCCGTGCCGCAGGTGGCGCCCTTTGGCGGCGTGAAGCAGAGCGGGCTGGGGCGGGAGCAGAGCAAGTATGGGCTGGCTGAGTTCCAGGACATCAAGACCGTGTGCCTGGGCATCGGCGGCGGCACGTAGCTGCCGTGTAGCTGCCACGTACGGCACGCTGCGCGGGGCCTCGCCCTTTAGCCTAGCCACGCCGGGCACCCCTCGCTGGCTTCAAGCCCCTGCCTTGGTTGCTGTGAATGTCATTGAATGGGTGTGACTCTGAATGAATCAGGTCGAATGAAAGAGTTTAAGGCATACAGAGAAGGGCAAACTTCTAGCTTCACCACCGATTCCCAAACTTGTCCCGCCGCGCCTCGCTCTCCGCCAGCGTCGCGTCTGCCACCGCCGCCGCCACCGCCGACCCGCGCAGCAGCTTCTGGGCCAGCCGCTTCCTGCAGGGAGGGGCCACCGCCGCAAGGCGGGGGTCGTTGGTGGCGGCCATGCTCAACGGAATTCAAAAGCAGTGTCCGATTGGGCTGACTGCGGAATGGACCTCGGTGCTTGCCACGCAGGCAGGCCCACGGTAGGGCCCAGCGCACCCTGCAGCAGCCCTCTCCCCACACACACACCTGACGCCCATCTTCTTGCCTCGCCCCCGCCCTCCGCGCGCCGCCCCGCCGCCGCCCTCGGCCCCCTGCGGCTGCCCCTCTGCGTCCTGCAGCTGCCGTGCCAGCGCCTCATCCCGATCCGCCCCTCCTGCACTCCAGCAGTCGGCACACGCATGGGCGCACTCGGGAGCAGCTTGGGGCATTCAGAGGGCTGTCTTGCTGCAGGTGCCGGGGCCACCAGGCGGGTGCCTGCCATCGCCAAGCAAACAAGAGTGGAATGGAAGCGGCAGGGAGGGGTGCAGGCAGCAAAGCCTGCCTGATGCCTCACCAATGACGGCCTCGTTGTAAGCTCGCTCCTGCGCCCGCCGCGCTTTCTTGCCGGCGCGGCCATCGCTCGTGCTGGGCCCCGCTGCCGCTCCCTGCGACGACGGACCCGCCTCGTCTGCTGCGCCAGCCCCGCCCCCCTGCCGGCTCGGCCACTGCTGCGCCACTGATGGTGTGCCACGCTGCTGCTGCTCCTGCTCCTGCTCCTGCTGCTGCTGCTGCTCCTGCTGCTGCCGCCGCCGCTCGGCGTGCTGCTGATACGCCTGCTGCTGCTGCGCCGCCTGCCGGCTGGCTGGCATGGGAATCATGAAGAGCTCATCAAGCCGCTCCTGCGGCAGCTCTGCACAGGCAGGATTTGTGGCGGTGTGTGCGGCGTCAGCATGCCTGCAGTCGGGGCGAAGGCATGGCAGGCGCGCACACACAGCAGCCAGAGCAACCGCCGAAACAAAAGCGAGGCGCATTGGGAGGCGTCAGCGAGGGTCCCACGCCAAGCCAGCAGGCAGCGGCTTGCCTCGGTGCACGTCCACCGGCCCCCAGTGGTTGCTGACCTCCAGCCCGTGACCGCTCACAAAAGTGGGCGCTACAGTGCCAGGGATACAAGCAGGTTGAGGTAAGGTTTGGGTGAGCGGGGGGCAGCACAAGGCATGTCGTGTGTCGGTGGCAGGGGCAGAGCAGGGGGGGGGCGGGGCAGGGGTTGCGCCCTGGCTGCCCCTGCTGGTGGCGCGCACAGGCAAGGGCAGCAGGGGAGGGGGGCAGGGTCAACCGGGCCGGCTGCGCTCACCCGCCTGGCTGTCCCAGAAGATGGTGTGCGTGCCTGAGGGCAGCACTGGGGCCTGCAGGGCGAGCAGTGTGCAGGGCTGGATCGGTGTGGGAGGCACTGGTTGGCACCCAACAGAGGTGGGAGAGGAGCAGGCACTGGTACTCCACTGCATCGCGAAGGCTGGAATGCAGGCGCGCGCACCTGCGCAGCCAGCTTCTTCCTGACATCCTCGGGCAGGCTGCTCTCCCGCCGTGCCGCGGCAGCTGCCGCTCGGTCGCCGCGCGCCTCCTGCTGCTTCCGCTGCTGCCCAGCGGCGTCGGATGCCTGGGGGCGGGGCCGGGGAGCGGCGGGGTCCACGATTCGCAGGTAAGGGCTCTCCCACTCCTCCTCCTCCTCCTGCCGCCCCTGCTGCCGCTGGCTCGAGCGCCCAGCCGCAGCGTCGCGCTGCCCCGAGTGCCGTCGATTCCGCTGCTGCTGCTGCTGCTGCCGCTGCTTGCCCAGCGCCCCCTCGCCGCTGCCGCTGCCCTCACCATCATCCTCGCCCTCGCTCCCGCTGCCGCCAAACAAATCCTGCAGGGCCGTCGCCACAGCCGGCGCATCCGCCTCCCCGGCCTGGCCCTCGCTTTGCTGCTGCTGCTCGCGCTGGCGGCGGCGGCGCTGCAGCAGCAGGGCTTGCAGGTCGAGGTCCGAGGCCTCGCACCGCGCCTTGGCAGCTGCCAGCTGCCCGCGCAGCTGGGTGGCGGCGCGCAGCAGCTGCTGCCGCTGCTGCTCCTGGGCTGCGCCCTCGGGCTCCACCCGCCCCAGCACCCCCAGCCACTCCTGGACTTGAGGCAGCGTGCGGTTGGTCAGCTGGCGGTACAGCCCTGCCAGCGTCTCCAGTACGACGTCCATGTCAGCATCGCCGCCGCCGCCGCCGCCGCCGCCGCCGCCACTGCCGCCATCAGGCTGCGCTGCACTTGTGCCCGCCGCCTCGGCATCAGGCGCATGCCCCGCCCCGTACGCTGCCAGCCCCTCTGCCAGCCCTGGGTCCCGCTCGCCGGCAGGCGCGGGCTCCGCCGCTGCGACATCCTCCCACTGCATGCCATCCGCCTCTGCCGCTGCTGCTGCTGCCTCCTGCTGCGCCTGCTCCGGATGTGGCCGCTGCTGCTGGTCCTGCTGCTGCTCATCCAGGATGGCAAAGCACTCTTGCATCTCTGCCAGCAGCTGCCGCGCCGCGCTGCTCCCCTCCTGCCATTCCCCCGGCCCTGCGTCGCTGCCCCCCAGCATCGCCGCCAGGCGCTGCCGCAGGGCCAGCTGCTGCTGCCGCTCGCGCGCGGCGCGCTGCGCCTCTGCGGCAGCCGCCCGGGAGCTGGCGGTACCGGGGAACCGGCACTGCAGGGTGTCCCGCAGGTAACGTACCGCCAGAGGCAGCTGCAGGCAGGGCCGGCAGGGCACAATCACGCCATGGCGGCAGCGAGGGGAGCGAGCTCGGGTGCAGCAATGCCCTGCAGCACCAGCATCAGCATCAGCAGCAAAGCCTTGCCTGCTTGTACTTGGCGCCCCACTGCACCTCCCACCCCTCCACCACTTCCAAAGCCTTCTCCCGAAGGGAGGTGGCCGCATCTGGCGGCGGCGGCAGCGGCCGGTCGCTGGTCACCCCCAGCACAGCCTCCAGGAACTTCACAGAAGTGAGAAGATGAGGAGACTGGGTGAGCATACGGTAGGGCTGGCTGGTGTGTGCCAGGGAGCTTGCATTGGCGGCGGCACCGCAGTCGGCTGCTGGCAGCGGGTGGCTGCATGGCGCTGGTGCCAGGAAGCGGCGCCTTGCCTGCATCAGCTTGGCCAGCAGGGCGAGGCGGAAGGCTCGGCTGCGCTGGAACAGCTGCTCGCAGACCAGGAGGGCCAGCAGCCGAGTCTGGAGGGAGCAGGGAGCAGGGGTAACAGCAGGCGGGTGGCAGGCGGGGTGAGTCCCACGGCAGGCAGGCGTCAAGCAGCGGCAGTGCCGCAGTGCCGCAGCTTGATGCTTTCCTGGATGACAGGACGTACACCACTGCCGTAGCATAAAAAGGGGTGGGTGCTGACAGACAGGCCAGCAGTCGCCCGCAACCAGCCGCCTGCCGCCAACGCACCTGGGAGTGGGGCGCCCGCAGCTGCCCCCATAGTGCCTGCCAGGCGGCAATCACACGCGGGTCCCCTCCCTGCTTGCACAACGCCTTTATCTGGGCCAGCAGGCCGCCGTCCAGTGCCGGGTTGCGTTTGCTGCAAATTCGCTCCACCAAAACTGCAATGCGATGCTGCTCATCCGCATCCATGTGACTTGAGGATGTGCAGGGCGGTCGAATGGCAGCTGCAGGAAGCAGGGCAGTGGCTTGGACTCGGCTTGCTGACTGGGTGCCAGCAGTGCAGGCGTGCATAACATGAAACATTCCCTGCAGATGCACCCACGCCTTGGCGGGACAGGGGCTGGGTCTGGGGCCAGCGACCGCCCTTTCGAGGAGGCCAGCAGTCAAAATCGGCTTGCAGCAGGCTGCCTGGTGCGCGCCACAGCGTGATTATACGGCACCCTACCTGCTGACACCTGCCCGGCAGGCGCCTGCCACGGGGCGCAACTGCTGCGGGTGTGGTTGTGCAAACGCGGCGGCAGCCGGCCCCAGACGCGCCCGTTTGCGCCCCTGTGACCGCACCCGCGGCTCCAGATGGCGGAGGGCGGCGGGGAGATCAGCAGCGCGGCTCCCGCCCCGGCCGCCGCCGCCCCGCTGCCGCCTGCAGCGGCAAAGGCCCACCTCATCCAGACTTGCGACCTGCTGACCGACTGCACCGGGGCGGGCGCAGAGTGGCTGATGCCGGCCGATAGGCACGCAGCCGACGCAGCGGCCGCGCCGCCACCCCAGGAGGAGGGCGAGGCAGAGGGCACGGTCGGCGGCGGCGCCGCCAACGGCCATGCATCTGGCGATGCCGGCACGGACGAGGCCGGCGACGAGTCAGACGTGATGGGGCTGTGCGGCGCGGGTGGCAGCGGCGGTCCCAGCGCGGCAGCGGAGTTCTTCCGCCTCACTCCCCTGCCAGACTTTGGAGCGGTGGAGGCAGGCCAGGGGGAGCGGTGGGAGGCGGCGGCGGCGCAGCTGGCGGCACGCGAGGCGCCCGCCTGGCAGTTTGCTGCCTGGGACGCAGAGCAGAGCGAGGGGTCCAACCTCAGCCTGGCCGCAGCGGCGGCAGCAGCAGCCGCGGAGCAAGCGGCAGCAGCCGACAGCCCAGCGGCGCGGCCGCACAGCAGCGCCAGTGTCGTCCTCTCAAGCCCCGGATCCGCACCGCTGCACTACCCTCCGCAAGACCCCGGCGCCGGCAGCAGCGGTGCAGGCGGCAGCAGCAGCACGGCAGCGCAGGAAGCAGCAGCAGCAGCAGCGGAGGAGGGCTCGCCGCACAGGGAGGCTCTTCCGATTCCAGCGGAGCCGGCGAGCGACGGCATCGGGCCCCGCAGCAGCAACAGCATCTTGCGGCAGCTGCACATCAATGCAGCGTTCGAGGCCCGGCAGGGCGATGGCGAGGAGGCGGCGGGGGCCGGCAGCGGCGCCGGCAGCGGCGCCGGCAGCCCCGCCACCCAGCTGGCACGCCTCCTCGACTTCCCACTGACACCCGACCAGCCAACCACCGCCGCCGCCGGCGCGGCAGACGACGGCAGTGCCGGCGCCGCTGCCGGCGCCTCGCTCGGCGGCGGCAGCGGCTCCCGGGCACGCATCACGCCTGGAGGCAGCCCCTCAGAGGCGCCGGGCTGCAGCCAGGAGCGCGGCGGCGGCGGCGGCGGTGGCGGCAGTACCGCCCTCGTGAGGAACCTGGGGCAGCAGCTGGAGGTGGACCAGCTGCAGCGACGGGTGGCTGCCGAGCAGCTGGAAGCAGCCCAGCTGCGGCTGGCGCTGGGCGCAGCAGAGGCGGCGGCGGCGGCCTACGGCGAGCAGGCGCAGCTGGCCCGCGGCCATGCCGCGGCGGCAGAGGAGGCGGCGGCCGCCGCCGACGCGCGCCGCTCGGCGGCGGCGGCGGCCCTGGCCGCCGCTCTTGCGGAGCAGGCCTCGCTGGCGGCGGCGCTGGAAGAGGCTTCGGCGCAGCGGTGGGCAGCGGAGCAGCGGCAGCAGCTGCTGGAGGAGCAGGTGGAGCTTCTGCTGTATGAGCGGAGCGAGGCGGCGGCAGGAGGCGGCGGCGGGGACGGCGCCATGCTGGCAACCGCCGCTGACCTGGCAGCCGGTGAGCCTGCGGCGAGGGGCGTGGGCAGTCCTGCTGAGCAGCGGGTGCCCAGCTGTATGTGTTTCTCGCGCGGGAATCCCTCCCTGTAGTGCCGTGGGCTGGGCTGCTCCGCAGTCTGTGTTATGCGCGTCCCCTGCCCCGTCCTGCCATGCCTGTGCCATGCTGTGCCTTGCCCATGCCACGCTGTGCCACGCAGGCAATGCGCTGATGGCGGAGGTGCAGCTGCTGCGGCGGCAGCTGGAGGAGTCGGTGAGCAGCAGACAGCAGATGCAGGTGGCGCTGCAGCGGGAGCGGGGCGCCGCCGCCGCGCTGCGCGGCCGCGTGGCGGCGGCCGAGGCAGGCCGGGAGCGGGAGGCGGCACGCGCCGCGGAGGCCGCCGCGGGGCAGAGCGCGGCTGCCGCGGCGCGCTGCGGAGCCCTGGCCCGCGCCAATGCCGCGCTCGCTGCGCAGGCGGCGGCGCTGCGGCAGCAGGCGGCCCACCAAGAGGCAGCGGCGGCCGCCACCGCCGCCGCCGCAGCGCAGCACGCCGACGCCGCTGCTGCGGCGGCAGAGGAGGACCAGGCGGTGCTGGTTGCCGACCTGCGTCGCCAGCTACATGCCGAGCAACGGCAGCGGCAGGAGGCTCAGGAGGTGGCGGAGGCGGCGGCGGCCCAGGTGGCGCAGCAGGCGGCGGTGTTTTCAGAGGCGCTCGCGCAGCAGGCGGCGACGGCAGAGCACTGGCGGGGACAGGCAGAGGAGCTGTCTCGCCAGCTGGCGGCGGCCGGGCAGGCGGAGAGGGAGGTCAAGGGCGCTCTGCAGGTGATTGGCGGCTTGGTGTGGCTGTTGGTGGTAGTGCTTGGGGTGCGTACAGCCTCGTGCTCGGCTGTAGCTGAACAGTACTGCTGTACAGTCTCCTGTGCTGTGCGAAGCGTCTCCCTTTCCAGCTGTGTCGTCACCCTACCTGCTGCCGCCGCCGCCACCTGCAGGAGACGTGCACCAAGCTGGTTGCCCAGCAGCAGCTGGCGCACGAGCAGCAGGAGGAGCTGGTGTTCCTGCGGGCCAAGTACGGCCAGCTCAGCAGCCAGCTGGAAGCTGTGCAGGCAGCCGCCGCGGCAGCAGCGGCGGCGGCAGGGGGAGGAGCGCCCTCGCCGCCCTCGTCCCAGCAGCAGCAGCCACAGCACCCCGCCGTGCAGCAGCTGTCGCGGCAAGGCAGCCAGGACAGCAGCGCCAGCGGGGGCAGCGCGGGGGGCACGCCCGGCAGCAAGCGGCCCGGCGTCGCGGCAGGCGGCGGCGGCGGCAACAAGATCGGCAGCTGGCTGGGGCTGCGCAAGTCTTAGCTGCTTCGGGCCGCACGGCATGCTGCCAGCTCCCTGGCCGTGATGCTCAGTGACCACAGCAACCGTGAGGCACAACTATACCTACTTTCTAACACTGCTAACAACAGACCCTCATGCCCCTGTGCTCAGGCACCAGGCACACATATTCACTGACAAAACTGCTGGCTGACCTGTATTCTCTGCTGGCCATTCATAACTTTAAGCTATGCCAAAGCCTACACATGCGATGAGAACAGGGCGGCAAGACTAACGTCTGGACAAGCTTGCAAGAGGGATTGTGAAAAGAATTCCGCAATGCTTGATTGATGACGAGCAGTAAACATAGTAGTTCGAAAGAAAACTGAGACAGTACGGGTTGCAAAGATGCAAGTTCAGGAGGCTGAGGGTGGTGTCCTGCCTTCGGGCGTGGCCTCCAGCCGCCGCAGCGCCTCGGCCGCCGTGCAGCGGCGCAGCGGGTCGGCCACGACGCATTCCTCTATCAGCTCCAGCACCGCCTGCATGGAGGTGGGAGCAGGGGTGAAGTGGGGGCTGGTAGCGGGCATGCGCAGGCAGCACTGCTGTCAGTGGCACAGTGGGGGGCCTGCCCTGCCAGCCGCGGCACCCACCTGAGGGCACTCGTCGGGCACGCGCGGCAGGCGCCACTCGCCGCGCCTGTCCACCACGCACTGAGTGGTCAGCTCCACCAGCAGGATGCCAAAGCCGTACATGTCGGCCGCCAGGGTGCAGCGGTACCCCATCAGCTGCTCGGGGGCTGCAGGGGCGGGATGGGGAGGCGGCGCAGCTGAGCAGGACCCTGCTGGGATCAAGATGCAAGCATCTGGTGTAGGCTGTCAAGCACGCCGCTTGCATGCAGATCAACCAGCAGCCCGCTGCATCAGGGGTGCAGCGAGGTGACGCACCTGCGTGCGTGCAGCAGAAGCCCGCTGCGCTGCGCGCCTTGCTGCCCACCACCTGAGCCACACTCATATCGCCAAGGAAGGCACGCAGGTCTTCGCTCAGCAGCACATTGCTGCAAGGCAGGGAAACATCATGTGATGCTTGGGGCAAGTGCAGCAAGCATAGCTCCCACGCAGCATTGCTCTCAGACAGCTGGAATTCCGTGCAACTTAGGATGGTCCACGGCTGCAAGCCCAACCCTTACCCTGACTTCAGGTCGCTGTGCATGACTCGCTGTGTTGTGTGGAGGTGGTGCAGCCCTTCCGCCACATCCAGCGCCACCTGCCGGCCACTGCAGGGCAGCGGGCAGTACAGATGCATCATCACACCCACGCCGAGTTCGGCCACGCCAGCCCACGCATACGCACACGCCCAGACCTCACCCCGCCTCCCAGCGCAGGCGCTGCTGCAGCTCTGCATCCTGCAGCGCCACCCGCAGGCTGCCTCCCCGCATTAGCTCCATCGCCAGCATCAGCAGCGAGCCCTGCAAGAATGGTACACGACGCAGGATGGCACATGAATGCTGGCTGTGGCACACAAGGCCCCTACTGTATCGCCTCATGTCGCACGCCTGTCCCACCACAACCTGCGGCCACCCACCCTGAGCGCCACTCCAAACAGCGGCACGATGCGAGCGTGGGCGCACTGGCGCAGCAGCGACACCTCCCGCCACGCCGTGTGCGGGTCGAGCCCCGGCTGCAGCTCAAACACCTGCAGCGGGCAGGGGAGCAGCCAATGAATGCAGGGGTGGAGATCAGCCTGCAAGGGAAGCCTCTCCATCCACAGGAGTGGGGGTGGCTGGAAAGGCGGCGCAACAGCTGCTAATAGGCCCAGCCGCCATGCAGCGCTCGTCCCCACCTTCACTGCCACCTCCACCCCCTGCAGCCGTGCGAGGTACACCACGGCATGGGCCCCCTCCCCAAGCTCCACCAGCTGCCCCTGGGGCCCTGAGGAAAACTGCAGGCAGGCAGCACAGGGCAGGCACCAGTGCGCAGCAGCATGGCGGCGCTGCCACGAACAGCCCAAACACCGGGACGAGGATACATGGCCATGCCACCAGCAGCCCTGCTGAGGGCAGCTGTGGGCAAGGTGGAGCGGAGCGCCGCATGCCCGGCGCCGCCAGCTGTAGCCCCCGGCTGCAGCCACCTGCGCTGCGGCGCACCTCCAGGTCTCCTACCGACATGCGCAGCGATGGCGCCACCGCGCCCCAGGGCTGGCTGGCAGGGGCGGCAGCCGCGGCTTCGCCCAGCCACGCCCGCGCGCCGTGCCTGGCGCCATTTGCCGCCGGGCCCCTGCCGGGATCTGCCTCTGAGCCTGCATCCTGCTCCTGGCCCTGCAGCGAGCCCAGCTGGTGGGCCAGGCCGCTGGGCAGCACTTCTATGGGCAGCATTTCGATGCCGCGGCGCCGGTCGCTGCCCAGCTGGGCACGCAGCATGGCCGTCAGCCGCGCCCGCTTGCCGCGGCCCACCCAGGCGCCACCCACCTGGCCGCCCTCTGCCTCGCCCTGCTGGTGCAGCAGACCCAGCGTTTCGTGGCGCCGCCGCTCCAGGGGGCCATGCCGGCGCAGCTTGTGCCGCCACAGCAGCCTGCCGCCCACCGCCACGGCCACCAGGGGCACCAGCGTGGCCAGGCTGGCAACCGTCGCCGTGCTGAGGCCGCGATGGGCCTCGGCACACTGCGTTGGATAAGCTCCATTCAGCACCAGCTGCGGCAGGCTGCGCGACGCGCATGGCGGCACGCAGGCGTCGATCGCAGTGCGAGAGATCTCCCTGCGAAGCAGGCGGACAAGCAGGGGAGGGCGCCCGTCACGGCTTGCTCGGCAGTGGGTGGAAGAGGGCCTGGCGATGCCAGGGAAGCAGCAGGGGGCCGTGGCATGCATGGAAGCAGCGGTGCGCGCTTGCGAGGCTGCTCTCACACACGGCCCAAGTGTGCGGCAAACGGCGCCTGGCACCAGCTGGCGGGGATGGGGCCGGCGAGGGCGGTGCCGCTCAGATCCCTGCACGGTGGCGCGGCAGCGAAGGGCATCTTGTGAGCTGGCCGGCGGGTGGGGTAATGCGCGAGCCAGGAGGAGGGGCGAGGCAGCCAGCCAGCCAGCTACTCACAGCTCTTGGATCTGGGGCCAGGCAAGGCCAGGTGGCAGGGAGCCTGTGATCCCGGGGTTGCCCATCACCGCCAGCTGGGTAAGGCGGGGCATCGCCCCGGGCGCCAGCCAGGCGGGCGGGAAGGCGGGGCCCGTCAGCCGGTTGTCGTTGAGCACGAGGCGGTCGATCTGTGGGGAGGGGGCCAGGCCAGGGCTGCTCGTCGGCGGCCGCGGCCCGCTCGCTGCTCCTGGCTCGCAGCGCTGAGCTGGCAATCACAGTCAGCACAGCAGGCATGTCGTGACCCTGAGCAGCCAGCAGGCATGGCATCAGATACAGCAGGGATGACTCTGAGCAGCCAGCAGGCTCCCGGCTGCATGCAAACATCCCATGAACGCACACATCCCGAAATCCGAATGATGGCTCGGGCACTGACTCACCGCTGTGTCGTTGGCCCAGGCCTCTGGCAGCGGCCCGCTCAGCTGGTTGCCAGTCAGCACGAGCGTGCTGAGCCTCGGATGGGTGCGGAACAGCTGCGGCGGCAGCGTCCCCGTCAGCCCGGCTGCACTCAAACTCCTGTGCACGGGTGGGAGGCGGCAAGGGTGGCGGCGGTGTGTGCACATGTGTGGTGCATGCGGGTGGGGTGTGGGTGTGGGAAGGGCGGCAAGGGCAGGGGCAGGGCCAGCACAACAAGAGAACGAGAAAACAACACTCACAAGGCAGACAGGGAGGGGAAGCCTCCCTCCACCCAGGCTGCTGGGATGGAGCCTCTCAAGCCCACGCCGGCCAAGTCCAGCAGCTGCAGAGCCTTGAATCCAGAAGCCCACTGCGGCGGCAGGCGCAACCACCCCGCCGCAGGCTCCGCCGCCGCCGCGCCGGCCGCGCCGGCCGCGCGGTCGCTGCCACTGCCCGCCACCTCGACCAGCGCCTGCCACGTGGCGTTGACAAGGACGAAGCTGCCCAGGCGCTGGAAGCCGGCAGCCCAGGCCGCCGGCAGCGGCCCCGCCAGCGGCGCGTGCACCGACAGCGCGAGCAGCGCGGGGAGCACCCGCGGGTCGGCGCCCCAGCTGGCGGGCAGGGTGGAGGGGGACAGCTCTCGGAAGTCGAGGCGGAGCTCCTCCAGCCGGGGCAGGACGCCGGGGGGCACATCGGGCAGGCCTGCACCCATATTGAGGAACTCCAGGCCCAGCCTGCAGGCAGGCTGGGAGGCAGGCAGGTGAGCGGGAAGGGAGGTGGGCAGGCGGGCAAGCGAAGTCAAGGTCAGGGCGAGGGGGAGGGCGCAGTACGAGGCTGGCCAGGGCGCCATGCCCTCCCCTGCCCTGCCCTGCCCGCCAGCGCCGCTCACTTTTTCAGGCGGGGGAAGGCGCCGGGCGCCAGCCACTCGGCAGGGATGCCTCCCGTCAGCCGGCCGTGGTACGACTGAAGCTGGAGCTCCTCAAGCCACTGCAGCTGGGCCAGCTCTGGCAGCAGCGCCGCGCCGGCGTGCGGCGGCGCCGGGGCCTGGCTGCGGGCGCTGCCGCTGCTGTTGGCGCCGCTGGCGCCCTGGCTGGGGTTCAGCAGCGTCTGCAGCCACTCTGCACTCTTGCGCGCCTCGGCCGCCGATTCCACAGACACGGCTCTGCAGATTGGCGGGGGGGGGGGGGGGGGGGGGGGGGGGCACGCATTCGCCTTGGAACATGTGCCATGCCTGGCGGGGCCGGTCTAAAGGCGGCTGGGCAGCTGGTGCAGTCACAACTGCAAGCACGTGCGTGCGTGCAGGTGGCTGTACGTGTGAATGCAGGGCGGCCGGCATCTTGCCCGGGGCCTCACATGCGTGTGATCCGCTGCAGCGCATCGCACTCGACATGGACCCAGCGGCACGGGTGGGCGTTGTCGCTGGGCTGCCAGCCCTGGAGGCCGCGCAGGTTGTGCCACCCCGCCCGCAGCTTGCGCATTATGGCCTCTGCACGGGGGACGCTGCCCAGATGGGTCGAGGAAGAAGAGCACAGGCATGCCGGCAGCGTCCGGCGTCCGGCAGTGCCACAGCCCGCAGCCGGCATAGCAGATAGGAGCACACAGAGAGCTCTGCTTCAATAGCAATACCCGCAGCGTGCACAAATGCGCATGCAATGTCTCGGGCATGTCATGCGAATAATGTGCGCACCCTCAGACAGGCGGGTGCCAGGCAGCGGGCCGCCGCCAGCGGGGCCAGCCGCAGCCAGCACCACCAGAGCGAGAAGCGCCCATGCCCAGCCGGGCGCCCTCCGCATCGCCCCTGCAGGCCCGGCTTGCCGACTCAGAGCGACGCCGCTGGGTGGGGCCGCCCCGGTCCCATGCCGGCTCCCATTCCACTCGCCACCGAGCTGCAGGGGACGATGCAGAGACGCACGAGGATGAGGTAAACGAGAAAACGCGAGCAAACAAACGGCTAGCATTGGGGGTGTGCCCAACCCAGGGCGATGTGACCGCTGCCGCACGTCGCGATCGCGCTGTGCTCAGCACGGCGGCGGAGTTACTGTTACACCCATGCTGAGTGAGGCAGCGCAGCAGACACGTTAGAGGGATGTTGAAAGCAGAGAAGGAGTGTGTACAAGGGAAGAACAATGACGGTGCTGCGTGAGTCTGAGGCAACACAACGGCACAGCTTCGCTGCCAGCGTCGGTGCGGCCCACCCCGCTGCTGCTGCTGCTGCTGCTGCCCCTGCCAGCTGCGGCTTGCTCATGCGCGCCAGTCATGCCCCGACGGGCTTGGCGCTGCTGCTGCCGCCGCGCGGCGCGGCGCCGCTGCTGGTCGTCGCCATCACGTGCATGGTGGAGGGGCGGTTGGCGACGATGCGCAGCAGCCATAGGCTGCACACCAGGCTGAAGAAGTGGGCCAGCAGCGCGTTGGTGGTGGCCTGCGGCGGGGGGCGGCGGCACAGCAAGGGCCGTGTCAGGCACCGCGCTAACCAGAGCGCCACGCCACAGGCCTAGCAGGGCGCACGAGAATCGGCAGCCGGCAGCAGCAGCGGCCGGGCCTGCTCCCGTCACTTGCCGGCGGCCGGCCGGCCGCGTCGGCGCGGCCCGCCACCCTGCCATCCGCGCTCTGCGCTGCCCCCACCTGCACGTTGAAGACGTCAAAGGCCAGCACAGGGTTCCAGTTGGTGGAGGAGGTTGCCAGGAAGGGGTTGACGGTGGCGGAGGTGAGGGTCTTGGCCAGCAGCACGCCGATGGTGGCAGACAGGCCCAGCATGGTGGCCCCCGCTCCCAGCACGTTGATCACCGCGCCCTGCAGGCGGCACAGGAGACCGGGCATGCGGGCTGGCGCGGGTGGGCGTGGAGCCGCCGCAGCAGGCCTGCAGCGTTGCACATCCCAAACGCCCACGCCCAGCACCCACAAACCACCCACCCGCCGTCCTTACCCTATCGCAGAGCCCATGCACATGCACAGCCGGCACACAAGCAGACCTTAAGATACTCCCCCACCCACAGGCACACCCAGCCCCCCCACACAGCCCCACCTTCTCGAGCATGGAGATCACATCGGAGCGGCGGATCTTGGGCGCGGCGTCCAGGCTGGCGGCGTCCAGGAACGCGCGCAGCTTGCGCGACAGGCGCACGTAGCCAAAGGACCAGAACAGGGACAGGAAGCCCAGCACGATGCCAAAGAGCGTCATGTAGAGGGAGATCGAGGGGCCGTTCTGCGGGTGGAAAGGAAGGAAAGCAACAGCGAGGGGCGGCAGCGGCATGAGTTGCAGCGCAGGGTGCGAGCCGGGGGTACCGAAGCACTGGGGCCAGGGAATGGAGCCAGGGCTGCGGCGGCCCTGCACAGCGGCAGGAGATTCACATAGTTTCATGCAGCAGGACCCATCTCCCGAGCCCAACCTTTCCGCCGCAGCCCCACCTGCGAGGTGAAGGCGAGGGAGAAGAGCAGCACGACGGCTGCCACGGTGTTGAGCACCAGCTGCACCCAGAAGCTCAGCCAGCCGTAGCGCCGGCACGCGTTGGCCGCCTTCCTCAGGTTCTGCCGCGCCACCTCGGAGACATCCAAGAGGCCGTCTCCACCTCCCGCCGCCGCCGCCGCCGGGCCGCGGGCAGACGCGTCTGCGCGCGGCGCCTGCAGAGGCGCCATTGGCAGAGCTTCCCTGAGGTCCTGTGCTACTGGGCCAAGCGGCCTGCGTGCGCTGGGAAAGAGCCCAACACCCACACCACCATCCCACCCACCTGGCAGACTCGCCGCCGGCTGGATGGTCTCGATGGCTGCACCAGCCGCACTGGCGCTGCTAGGGCTGCGCTGCTGGGGACATTTTTCAGATGCCTGTGTTGAAGGCGGGCTGCCGCTAGTGTGGGCTGGCAGAGGCGCGCGGAGACCTGCATGTTGTCCAGATGGGTCGCCGGGCGACCCGATGGCTCAATTTTGGCGCTGCCCTGCGCGCCTGCTGAGCTGGCGAGTGTTGCGCACAGCCAGAATCGATGAAACCGCGCTCAGGAATGCACAATTGGCATTCCAAGACACATGTATAAATTGTCCAACCTGTCCAGGATCGCTTCCGAAACCAGGACGAGGACTAACGTGACTTGCTTTGCCTGCAGAAGGGCACCCAGGTGAGAGCGCGGCGGCTGTAACAAGAACAGCACGTGCCTGCTGAGTATTCTGGTCCGGCAGCGTGACAGCTGCGCAAAGGGCGGCGGCGGCGCTGGCGCCGCAGCTGGAGTGTGCGACTGTCGACTGCGGCGCCAGCCCGCTGCAGGATGGTGAGCAGCACCCACGAGCATCACGACTACGTGCGCAAACACAAGTTCACCACCCCCGTGAAACGGGAGGCGAGTCGCAGCATCTTGGCTGTGCAGACAGCAGGCGCCGCCGCGCCTCTGCAGGCTAGCACGCATCGGCATGCACAGGCTGTCCCATCCGCTGGGCGTCCGCTGCTGGATTGGCTGCAGGATGTGGAGCGCGACTGGCGGCCGCGGGGCTACACCTGCGACTTGTTCGTTGACCCGCCAGGTCAGCTCAAGTGCACGCGTACATGCTGACACCGCCAATGCATTCATCGCTTCCTGCCGCTCATCTCACCCGCCGCTGCGCCTGGTGCAGGCAAGGAGTGGGTGGACTTCACTCACAAGGAGGACGAGCTGGTGGTGGTGGTGACGGGGCGCATGGAGTTTCTCATCGGTGGAGACCGCGTGGTGCTGGAGCCAGGGGACGAGGCCTTCATCCCGGCGGGGGTGAAGCACAGCACCAAGAACATGGGGGCCAGCGAGGCGCGGTGGCTCTACGGGTATGCTTGACATGCGGCTGGCGGCTGGGTGGAATGAGCTGTGCTGCCCAAAAAGAATGCTGGCCGGCACCGCGTTGCTGGAGCATCTGAGAGCATCTGAGAGTGAAAGCTAACTGAGTTGTGTTTCATTCACTAGCATCTTGCCGTGCAAGCCCACGTGGACGGCGGCGAATGCCAGGTGGCGGCAAGGCGCCAGCAGGTCGCTGTACCCAACTCTGGCATCGTCGGCGTGCAGCTCTGCAGCGATCATCTCACGCAGACAGGCTTGGGGGCAGTCGCCCGCCGCGATTTCGACTCGCGTTGCCAACCCCGCAATGAGAGGCGGCGGGCTAGGGAGCACCGGGGCGGTACTGGCTCTAGCGTTGCTGCTGGCAGGTGTGCGGGGCGCCTGCGGGCAGCAGGTGGCGACGGCGGCGGTGGGCCGGGTGTGCGGGCAGCACCCGCCCAGTTGGTAGCGCCACAGCCGAAGACGGAGCGCTGTGAACCTTGAGCAGCGCCGGCCCGCCTGCCTGCCGGCTGCAGGCGTTAGCACGCCGCGAATAGGAGCTGCTGCGATTTCTCTGGGCAACCAGACGCACGGCTGGTGAGGTTGTGCCTGGAGCCCGTGATACCGCCGCAGGCGGCGCGGCTCCTCCCCACCGCTGCAGGCCCTGCCCGCCCGCCCCCGAGCATGCGCGCCGCCGCCCTGTTGGGTGCAGGGTGGAGGTGGTGGCGTGGAAGCCGAGGGCCCTGCTGCTGCATGGCTTCCTTTCGCATGCAGAGTGCGACCACATCATACGGGTGGGCAGCAGGCCATACGAATAGCTGGCCATACGCATGAGTGCAAGTGAATGTCCGGAAACACCAGTGGGGCGGCCAAGTGGGCGTGCACGGGCGTGTGCAGGGGCATGTGCAGGGTGGGGGGCTGCTTGCCCCATCATCCACCCACAACCACACCCACACCCACACCCGCCCGCACACTGCCATGCTGCCCCACCCCCCAGGTGGCCGATCCCAGCCTGGAGCGCAGCACAGTTGTGTCTCCCGAGGGCGGGTCGATGCTGGACGAAATACGCACCAGGTGGGGTGCCTGCTGCATGCCGCACGCCAGAAGGTGCCGCCCTGCTGTTGCTTCGCAGGCGGTGGTGGTGTGGGGTGCCATGTGCTGGACGAGGCGCGGGCCAGGTTGGGGGCCCCTTGCTTCCTGCTGCCGCTGCCGACTGCTGGCCCCAGGAGGGTGTCGCTGCAGCAAGTTTGAGCCATCGGCCGCGTGCGCCGCGTGCTGTGCCACCTTTTCCACCAAGCTTGCCCTTTGCTGCCCCGTCCATCCCTGTGCCCCTCCCGCCCGTGTCATGCCTGCCTGCCCACCTGCCTGCCTGCCTGCCTGCCTTCAGCTCTGGCATGTTTATTCTCAAGGGCCACGACGCCGTGATATCCGGCTTGGAGGAGCGGGTGGCAGCGCTGACCCACCTGCCCGTGTCCCACCAGGAGGACCTGCAAGTGCTGCGGTGGGTGGGGATGCAGTGCTGTGCTGTGCTGTGCTGTGGCATGCTGTGGCGTGCTGTGCTGTGCTCTTCTGTGGCATGGTGCGACGTGGCAGGCCGCGGCGTGCGGCCCTGTGCACCCCCCTACCACATCGCACCACATCGCACCACGTCGTACCGCATCCCGGCCGCCGCCTGGCCCGTACCGCAGGTACGAGCTGGGCCAGAAGTACAGCGCCCACTGGGATATCAACGACTCGCCCGAGCGAGCGCAGCAGATGCGGGCCAAGGGCGTGCTGGGGGGCCTGCGCACCGCCACCCTGCTCATGTACCTGTCGGGTGGGCGGCGCACGCGGGTGGCGTGTGTGTTTGCTGAGGGGGTGAAGCGTGCTTGGGTAGAGGGGGACCGCGCGGCGGTGTCGAGCGGCGGTGTAGCCACCTGCCAAGTGTGCCTGCTCCTCTCCCCCTGCCCCTGACACCCCTGCCCCTCCACACCCAGCCCCCGCTCTGCGTGCTCCACCCTTCTGCCCTCCCCCCGCATCGCTGCAGACGTGGAGGAGGGAGGCGAGACGGCTTTCCCGCACGGCCGCTGGCTGGATGAGGGGGTGCAGGCGGCGCCGCCCTACACCGAGTGCGCATCCAAAGGGGTGGTGGTCAAGCCGCGCAAGGGGGATGCCATTCTCTTCTTCTCGCTAAAGTTGAATGGTGAGTGTGGCTGTGCTCGGGTGGGCGGCAGGGCTGTGATGGGGGTGCACGTGGTGGCGGCGGCGTGTGTGTGTGAGCCAACCCAAGGCGTGCACCGCCAGCTGGAAGCAAGCGGTAGCATGCTGTATGGTACCATGCTGTATGGTACCGCCTCTGCTGCAGGCCAGAAGAAAGACGTGTACAGCCTGCACGCAGGCTGTCCCGTGGTGCGCGGCGTCAAGTACTCGGCCACCAAATGGGTGAGCGGTGGCAGGCGGGCGTGTCCTGTGGTGCCGTGTCGGGTTGTGCAAGAGCGTGGGGTAAAGCGGCGGCATGTCGCCACGCAGCTTCCCTGCTCCTGCCACAACCCAGCACCGCCCACCACCACCAGGCAGGACTTGCCCGCACCAGGCCCGCATGTGCTTTGCTCGAGGCGGCAAAAGCCAGAGCGTTGTGCTGGCGGCAGCACCCGGCAACCCGCCGGCACCCGCCCTCCCATCCCACCCGTGTGTGCAGGTACACGTGGAGCCGTTTGGGCACACCACGGTGCAGCAGCCAAGCCGGTGCGAGGATGCACGGGTGGAGTGCCCGCAGTGGGCGGCGGCAGGGGAGTGCGACAGCAACCCGGTATACATGAAAGGCAGCGAGGTCAGCGTGGGCAGCTGCCGGCTGTCGTGCAAGGTGTGCCGGCCGTGCCCCAAGGGCGATGTGCTGTGCGAGCGGGAGAATGCGCGGGCGCGGTAGCGCCAAGGCATCTGCCCTGCCCTGCGGCGCAGCTGCTCTTCGCCAGCCCGGTTTGTGCGCGTGCCCTGTGCGGCAGCAACGCCGGCGGTGCGTTTTTTGGGGAACATGCAGCGCTCGCTGGACCCTGCTACAGCCGGGCCCGTGTAAACATTGACGGCAGCGCGGGGGGGTGTTTACACACCGTGTGGAGGGGTGAGGACAGGCTGGTGGGATGATCAGAGGCTGGGAGGGGACCCGAGAGGTGATGGCAAGGCAGAGCTAAGGTAGCGGGAAGTTCAGAGTTCAAGTGACCTCAGGCTGGTGGGCAGCCACAGCAGCAGCCAGATGCGGCGCATGCCTACTGCTGCTCGCCATGCGGCTGCCCCTCCTGCCCAGGCTGCCTCCCACCTCGCCCTTGCTGCCGCTGCTGCTCCCCCGCTCCTCCCGCCTCCTCCTCCTCCCCTGCTTCCTCCACCACCGCGCCAAAGGGCCAGGGCTGCAGGCCGCGCTGCGCGATGCAGAAGGCCTGGTAGCTGCTGCCCATGCCCTCCTCGTGAAGCGCGGCGCCCGGCTCGCTGCCGCCCACCAGCCGCCTGCAGCGGGCAGGGCAGCCGCAGGGGAGCAGGCCAGTCAGCAAGATTGCGAAAACCGCAGGCACCGACGCGCCCAGCAACCAGGGAGACCGCCCTTCGCATGCCTGTGCACCCCCGGACGGCAGCGCCAAGGCAGCGCCAGGAGACAGCTGCCTCCACCTCCATCCTCACACCCCCCAACCGCCACCACCACCACCTCGGACACACCTGTACCCTGTCTGCAGCGCCTCCGCCTGCTGCGGGGTGGCGCCGACCAGCAGCTGCTCCAGGCGCGCCTCGATGCCCAGTCCCAGAAGGAACAGGGCCTGCGGGATGGGCCCCAGGCAGTCGGCGGCGGCGCCGCTCTCCTCCACCGTGGCCCTGCATTCAACCACAGCGCGCGCGGCACGGGAAGCAGTCACAGATGACTCTTAGCATGCGGGAGGCCGTGCAGGGTGCTGGCGCGGCTTGGGCTCATATACGGCGGTACGTGTGAAAACCAATGCCGGCAGGCAGCCAAGTTGAGCATTGGGCGCTGCCTCGAAACCTGCCCTGCCACAAGCACAGCCGCCGCCGCCACCGCACCCAACCACATCACCCGTGTGCCCACCCCAAGCCACCCCACCCCAAACACACCACCACACCACAGCGCACCTCAGCGCCGAGTAGTCCACCCGGTTGCTGATGTCGGCGCCCCCCGGCCCCTCCAGCAGGCCCACAAACTGGTGCTGCCGGATGGCCTGCAGGGAGGCCTCGTAGGGCGCGTCCTGGCCATAGTCGATGATGAGCGCGGCGCCGCCGTGCTGCGCCACGCGACGGGCCAGCCCCTCAGCCAGCGCCATGGCCTGCACGGAAACGGGGGGTGGGGTGGGGGGGAGTTGCATGCGTGTGCATACATGTGGCATGCAGGTGTGTAGTTGTGATGCGTGCGTATGCATGCGTGCGTGCTGCGCATGCGTGAGTGGTGTGTGGCGTGATGAAGGGGCCGTGGGCAGCGGGCACGAGCGTTAGCGGCAGGCTTTTCTTTCCAAGCAGCCAGCGCCGTTGCATGCTCGCTCTGCAACGACAGCACGCGCAGCACCTGCGGGCAGACCTCCAGTGCCGCCGCCTCGCTGGCCTCCGCCTGCGGCAGCTGGCGCAGGCGGCGGGGCAGCAGCACGCGGGCCGCGGGGGTGGGCCCTGGCGACAGCACCATGCGCAGGTGCAGGGGGGAGTCTGGGGAGGCGCAGTCCACCAGCCGCTCGCACCAGCCGCGCTCTGCGGTTGCAGGAGGCCAGGCGGGGGAGGTGGGTGGACAGTCGGGTAGGGAGGGATCAGCGGCATGGGCAGCGTGCAGAGCGAGGTCGGCGCCGAGTGAACATGCGCCGAGTGAACATGCAGTGGGGAGGGCATGCCGGTGTTGCTGCAGGAGGCATGCTCATGTGTAGCGGCTCCCCCGTCCAGCATCCCCCCTCCTGCCGCCGCTTCCCCCGCTGCCGCACCCCGCATGCCAGCCGCACCCACCCGTCTTTTGGAACTGGTGCACAGGCAGGGCGTCCAGGAACTCGTGAGCTATGTAGAGGGAGGGGCCGCCCTCCGCTGCAACCTCCTCCAGGCTGCGGTGCCAGCTCACCGGCACGCCACTCCAGCCGCTCACGCCGCTGACCCCGCCGCTGCCGCTGCTGCTGCTGCTATTTGTGTCGGGGCCGGGATCGTCGCCACTGCTGCTGCCCGGTCCCCTGCTGCTGCTGTCTTCTCCACCGCCGCTGCTGCCGCTGCTGCCGCCGTCACTGCTGCTGCCGCCGTCGCAGCTGCCGCCGCCTCCAGGGTCTGCTTCCAGAGGCGGGCTGCCCTGGCAGCGCAGCGCGCGCCACTGCATGCCGCGCAGGTGGGGCGACACCTCCACCATGCTCACCCGCAGCGCCTGCAGGGAGGAAAGCACAGGGTGCTGGTGCTGGTGGAGAGCATCCGGGATGGCGTGGCGCGGCCACTGCCGTGGTGTGAATCCAGGCAGGAGCGGGCCGCATCGTCCCCAGTTGAATGGACCCCCCCTCACATTCCGCTCTCCAGGGAATCGTGGCACTGCAGTACCACTGGCACCACCCACCCACCTGCGAAAACTGCTGGAAGGCGGCGGTACCGCGCAGCAGGTCCGCCATCAGCGTGCCCCGCCCAGGACCAAGCTCCACCAGGTGGAGGGTGGCGGGGCAGCCCAGCTGCTGCCAGGCTGCCACACACCAGATACCCACCATCTGCGCCAGGCGGGGTGGATAGGTAGGGAGGGTGGGTGCATGTGTGGGTTCGGGGGCCGCGTGCCACGGCGGCACACCCGGCTGGCAGGCGGGGAGGCGTCCGCGCAGCGGCTGGAAAGACAGGTGCCGCTGTCGCCTGCAGCAAGTGCCTCATCCGCATGCCGCATTGGCATGCCACGTCGGCATGCCACGTCAGCATGCCACGTCACCACCCCTCACCTCCCCCATCATCTGACAGATCTCGGGGGAGGTCACAAAGTCGCCAGTAGCCCCAAACACGTCCCGCTGCACGTCAGGGGGCCGTGTGGAGGGCCAGGGCGGCATTGGGAGGCGGCATCGCCAACCGGCGGCTTGTGTTTCAAGGCCTGAGGCACAGCCTGCTGCGCTAGCTGCGGCGGGGCGTGGGGCGACATGGCTGGAGGCCTGCCCGCCCGCCTGCCCGCCTGCCTGCCTCTCTGTCCTGCCTCTCTGTCCTGCCTCCAGCCAGCCAGCCAGCCAGCCTGCCTGCCTGCCCTGCCTGCCTCGGGCTCCCCGCCTCTCTACCTTGCCTGCCTGCCTGCCCTGCCTGCCTCAGGCTTCCCACCTCTCTACCCTGCCTGCCGCACCTGCGAGTAGTAGCCATGCTGCGGGTTGGTCAGAGCCTCAGACATGAACTCAGCCAGGCTCAGCGGGCCACCACGAAACTGCGGGCAGGCGGGAGGCGGTGAGGGCAGCACTGATCTTGTGTGGTTGCTGCTTCTGTGTTAGGTGGGACTCTTGACAGGGCACGTGCTGGTCATGCCGGCCGACACCTGCCAGGTGGTGGCAGCAGCTGCCCGTTGCCGGCTTGCCGGATCCGGCGCTGCTGTTGCAGCACCACAGCTGGCGCCGCTGCGCCTGTGGCACTTGCCCACCTGAATGAGCGCCTTGAGGTGACGCACCAGCGGCGTCTCCGGCTCCTTGTGAGCCTGCTGCGCTTCCAGCGCCACTGGGTTGTGTGTGTGCGGGTGCGGCTGGAACAGCGCGGAGCGATCTATTGAGACTACCTGCTGGGCTGCTGCTGCCCCTTCTGGGTGCGATGGCGTACTGCTGCTGGTGGTGCTGGTGCTGGTGCTGGTGCTGGTGCTGGGCTCGGGCGGGTTGCTAGGCGGAGGCCGGTCACTGCCGCCGCCGCCGCAGCAGCTGCCGCTGCCTGCCAGCCCCCGCCAGGCGCAGGCCAGCGCGGCGGCCGCCGACGCCGGCAGCCTGCTGTGCTGCGACCATCGGAGGGTTGACAGGCTGGAGAGCAGCATCGCTGGCGCCAATCGTGGGAGCCCACAGACTTCGGCGAGTTGCCCCTCTCGACAGGCCGGGGGCGCCCCACCCACAACGGTACAATCCCTCTGGAGCGATCGGCAATGCGCCAGGGCAATGCATGGCGCTGTGCTGGGCCTGCCACGTGATTGTTTCCTTTGGCTTTCTTTCTCCGCCTGTTCACCCTCTTTTGCCGCATCGCGCTGCCACCTACCCCCACAGGTCTCCACCTAGCTCAGTATCACCGCAGGCCCCCGCTGGCGCCCAGCCTCCGGTGCACCCGACTCTGCCTGCAACGGCCTGCCCGCCAGCTCGCCGCGCCCGCCTGGACCACGCTGCAATAGCAGCATCTCACTCAGGGCACGGGCCAGGGAGCAGCAGCCAAAGCAGCAGCATTGGCACATGCCGCCGCGGACGCCGCAGACCGCCGCTGCGTAGCGCAGAACCACACCCCACACCAGCACCGCCCGCCGGGCTGGGGCCTGGAATCCATCATTATCTATAGCAGGTCGCAGCCGCCATGGCGACCCGGAAATGGGTCAGCAGCGCAGTGGGCGTCTACCGCCTGCTGCTGGAGCAGCAGTCTTCGGGCCCCGCCGCCGCCGCCGCCCGGCAGCTGTGGCAGGCGGAGGTGAGCCTGGCGCTGCCCGCGGCCGCCGCCAGCAGCGCCGGCGCCAGCACGGCGGCGGTGCGGCAGCACAGCGCGGCGCGGCTGCGCACCTGGCTGCCCGCGGCGGCGGCGCCGCTGCAGCAGCTGGGTGCCGCGGCGCTCCATTCTGGCAGCACCCAGCTCCAGTCCATCCATCACGACTCGGTGAAGAGCAGCCTGACGCAGCCGCCGCCGCTGGCCAAGGTGGCGCCCTGGGAGGGCCAGCTGCCGCACAAGCACCTGCCGCCGGGGCACCACCCGCGCGGCGGCCAGGCGGCGGCAGCGCAGTACGAGGCCGCAGACGCAGGTACGGTGCCGCCCAGGCCCCGCCGCTCGTTGCCTGCCGCCAGCTGGTGCGTGCTGTGCCGAAAGGCAGAGGGGGTGTGCGGTGCCGAAAGGAGGAGGGAGCAGCAGGAGTGCCGCCTGCCTGCCAGCTCCCTGCCCCCGGCTGATCCCGTCCTGCCATGCTGTACTGCCTGAACCGCTGTGCTGTACTGCCTGTACCGCAGAGGAGTGCGATGAGGTAATGGAGGAGTACAGCGAGGCGCGGCGGCGGGTCAGGTGGGGCCGCCTCCAGC